TAACATACATGTACATGTATACCAGTAAATGTACAGGCAATACAGTCCATGCTGTTCTCTTGTTGAGAGGAACAGAAGACAAGGTTGTAGGGAGGGACACTGAAGTATTGACAGGAACATTACTACTGTAGTGTGTGCTAGTTGAGATATTACAACTGATACTTCTTTTAAAATAAACGTATCACAATTATTAACAAGAAATACTTAATTATTAAAGTCCAGCAATAATTAATGGCCTTTCATTGTGACATGAGTCCTAATATTTAAAGAAAAAAATATTAAAAATAAATAAATAAATAAATTACCAGGAGGGAGGGGATGTCCGGGGGGAGCTGGAGGGGGCAGACCCCCGGGGGCCGGAGGAGGTATCCCAACAGGAGGACCAGGGGGGCCTGGGGGTGGTAACAAACCACGTACTGGAGGAGGGGGACCTCCCATGCCATGGGGAGGAGGAGGAGGGGGACCGCCCATACCGTGAGGAGGAGGAGGAGCATGATGAGGGGCACCAGGGGGAGGGGGACCTAATAAAAAATAAATAAAAATAATAATAAATTGTGATACCTGGAGCAGCTTGAGGTGGTAAAGGAACATGAGATGGTGGAGGTCCAGGGGGAGGGCCCCCAGGGGGTCTGGGGAGCGGAACCCCAGGGGGAGGAGCCCCAGGAGGTCCTGGGGGAGGTACCCCAGGGGGAAGGGCTCCAGGAGGTCCTGGGGGAGGGGCTCCGGGGGGTCGGTGGGGAGGTACCCCGGGGGGAAGATGCATATCACCCATTAAAGGTACACCAGCCTAAGGATAATAATAATAAATAAATAAATAATAATAAATAAATAAATTAATAATAATAAATAAATAAATAAATAATAATAAATAAATAAATAAATAATAAATAAATACTTGATGTATTGGTATTTGATGGAGTATGAGCTGATGGCCAGGGGGCGGGGCAGTCATTCCAGGGAAGCCAGGGGGAGGGGGCCCTCCAGCAGAAAATAGAGAAGGAATGGGAACAGGATTAGGCATACCAGGGAAGAGTGGGGCTGGAGCCATGCTGGGGGCAGCTGGTATGGGGAACCCTGCTGCTATAGCAACTGAAAGAGAATGATAAAAAGAGAGGGGGTGTGGTCATTAGTACCAGGTGCTTTAGGAGGAGCGTCAGCGAACAACTGATGAGGTCTGTCGGTCTGTAGCAAGGGACTCTGCTTAGCCAAATAACGCTCTGTAATATAATAACAATTACATTAATAATGATAATAATAATAATAATACATGTACTTATGTGATGTTGGAAATTATGGTTAATCCTTCAAGTTGCTCCAAAATAGAGCCAAAGTCCCTGTACTATTAGTAACGTGGTAGCGTTACTGAGTAGGATTCACCCCACTTCAAAATGGCTGCCACAACTTTTGCAGCCTTGCTATGGTACATGGTCTTTGGCCAAATTTTGCCAAAATTGAAAAGGGAAGAAATCTCTATTTTTATGAATTTATTTCATGAATATACAGTACATATTCCTGTAAGTTCCGATCTTATACAAAATTAGTTTAAAGATGCTCCGAAATCAGGTCAAGTAAAGTACAGTGACCTTAGTCAAATTTCGCCAAAAATGAAAAGGAGAGAATTCCCCACACACAATAAGCACTAAAGTACATTAGATTATAAATATAATACCTTCCCATGTCCCGTGTCTCTCTCCTTTGGACTCTTTCTTAAAAGCATACGAAACTGATACTTGTCTGTTGCATAAATACTGTCCATTCATTGCTTCAATGGCTGCATCACTAGCATCAAAACTAGCAAAGTTGACAAATGCAAAACCTTTGGAGCCACCGCTGTCGACATCTCGCATTATCTGGGGAGAAGGAGAGAGAAAGAGAGCAATATTAATGAATGATGGTATAATAATAGTACAGCAACTTTGGCCAAATTTCACCAAAAATCACCAAAATGAAAATTAAAGAATTCTCCATCTTTATAATTGTTTCTGATACATTATACATGTATTTATGTTGCGCATAAAGTTTGAGCTGATTCTGATCAAAATTGGCTTTTTTAAACAAATTTTGGTACTATAATGTAACGGTAATGTACCTTAGGTGCTTGCAGGATGACACCAAAAGCTGAGAATATGTCATACAGCATTTTCTCATCAATCTCGGGATCAAGATTACCAATAAAGAGGTTAGCACCAATGTCAAGACTCTTCATGTTTGACGCTGCCTAATAACACAAGAATTAACACAATAATATTAGAACTAAAAATACTTATAATAATAATAATAAGTATTATTATTATTAGCTGACCTTATTGACACGGATTGGTTTCCCGTACAGTTTAATCATATTCATTATTTTAATTGCGTAGTCGGCATCGTCCTCCCCCATAAACTCAACGAACCCGTACCCCTGATGGGTCTGAGTGATCCTGTCACGTGGTATGTGAATATTGACTGTAGGGTGGGCATTAATTAGAAATAATAAGAGAATAATTTTTTAAAATAATTTGCTACAATACAATAGCTGTAACTTGGAGAATTGAAGTCAGAATCACCTCAAACTTTCTACACAGCATAAGGGCATCAATATGTATCAGAAAATGTAATAAAAATTTGGAGTGATTTTGGAGCCATTTTTTGAAAAAAACCAAAAAACCATGGGCTATAGCCTTGGGTACTTTTCAGAATTTGGCGCTTTCTTAAAATGGCCGTAACTCAAAAAATTGAAGTCGGAATCAGCAACTTTCTACACAGCATAAGGACATCAATATGTATCAGAAAATGTAATAAAAATTTGGTGTGATTTTGGAGCCATTTTTTGGACAAAACCATGGGCTATAGCCTTGGGTACTTTTCAGAATTTTGGCACTTTCTTAAAATGGCCGTAACTCGAAAAATTGAAGTCGGAATCAGCTCAAACTTTCTACACAGCATAAGGGCATCAATATGTATCAGAAAATGTAATAAAAATTTGGTGTGATTTTGGAGCCATTTTTTGGAAAAAACCATGGGCTATAGCCTTGGGTACTTTTCAGAATTTTGGCACTTTCTTAAAATGGCCGTAACTCGAAAAATTGAAGTCGGAATCAGCTCAGACTTTCTACACAGCATAAGGGCATCAATATGTATCAGAAAATGTAATAAAAATTTGGTGTGATTTTGGAGCCATTTTTTGGAAAAAACCATGGGCTATAGCCTTGGGTACTTTTCAGAATTTTGGCACTTTCATAAAATGGCCGTAACTTGAAATATTGAAGTCGGAATCAGCTCAAACTTTCTACACATCATAATGACATCAATATGTATCAGAAAATGTAATAAAAATTTGGAGTGATTTCGGAGCCATTTTTTGGAAAAAACCATGGACTATAGCCTTGGGTTTTTTTTAGAATTTTGGCTTTTTCTTAAAATGGCCGTAACTCAAAAAATTGAAGTCGGAATGAGCTCAAACTTTCTACACAGCATAAAGACATCAATATGTATCAGAAAATGTAATAAAAATTTGGGATGATTTCGGAGCCATTTTTTGGAAAAAACCATGGCTATAGCCTTGGGTATTTTTCAGAATTTTGACGTTTTCTTAAAATGACCGTAACTTGAAAAATTGAAGTCAGAATCAGCTCAAACTTTCTACACAGCATAAGGGCATCAATATGTATCAGAAAATGTAATAACTGAGAGTAACTCAAGATAGCAGTGCATACCCACAGGTCCAGCTTGAAGGAATAACTCCCAGAGGACACTCTCAGAAACCTTCTCATCCAACCCACCAACATATATAGTAGCATCTACCAGACACACACTGATTGTTAAATAATGAAACGTCATCATTGTACCTTGATTCCTTTCTTGTATGGGTCCTCCCGCCATTTTAAATTTATAATTATTTAAACCACACCCAAACTATTATTAATGATTATAAAGGTAATTAAACACATGTATGTATGTACATGTACATTTATAGTATCAATTAGTTCTTTTCTTGAGGTAGTTTAAGGCCAACAAGATGAGCACTCTCCTCAACTGAACGTTCTCCTTTCTTCTGATACTGTTGTATGAGATCCTGTAACATAATAATAATAATTATTATTATTATTATTATTATAGATATAAGAAATACAGTGTAGGGTGGGTTACAGAGAAAGAGAATAAAACAGGTTAAACCAGAATAGTAGGATAGTAAAAAATATAATAGATATAATATTAACATCATCATTATTCATTGTTAGTAACATATAATTGATGTAAAACATCTATAAAGTTAATAATAAATTACAGTGCAGTTCCATGCACTTGTTATTAAAATTAGATACAAATTTTCAAAGAACTGAGTCCACACACTCTTGGTCACATGCAGCTGCAGTGACTAAAATGGGAATGACCCAGGCTGCTCTTTGCAATATCATAATATTGTCACAGAATGATTTTATGTACTCATTTATGCAAATAAAAAATAAATATAACACAGCAGCAGCAAAAAAAATTAAAAACATTAAAAAGCAAGAAGATAAAATAAGCCATGCATAGTGTCAGCAATAATAATAGCAAAATAAAACCAGCAACTAACGTCCATCTACTGTAGCATAAATGTTATTTTACCATAAATCTCATACAGTCCAACAGGATTATCTTCATTAATAGTCCCTTCATCTCCACAGACTCTCATCTGAATATTGTCAGTGTAAGAATTGCTGCCATAGTTCCTGTGAAACCAGGGGATGTTGCTAACAAGACAACATGGCCGCTCTAGATTACCGCAGGTCTGACCATCCCATAGCGTATCGTTTGTGTAGAGTATTTCCGAAGTATAAGTACCTCCGTTGCCAGACTCACAGTAATAGTCATTACCAACGAATGATGGCACACTAGTTGTTACTCCGTTAGCACAAGGACAGTTGGAGTTGGGATTTATATCTGAGGTTTCCGTATAGCCAGCAATGAAAGTCCAGACATGTTGACGTGGTGAACCTCGTGTTAATAGCACTCCATCAGCGTAATAGGAATCAATGTTGTTCTGGTGTCCAGCGGGTCCATCAGTTGGATGAACAGCATCAGTTGATCCAAACTGATATCCTTGGACTCTACCACATATCTGAGAATAACTGATACCATTGGAAGAGAATTCTATTGAGGAGCAACCAGCAGAGAAGCTGATTGGACGACCGCAAGCTCTCACTCCCCCAGTATTGTAGAGTCTAAACCCAGAAGGACAGTTCTGTGTAGTATCAGACATATCCAGGTATGCTATCCTGGACCACCCTCCTGCTGAACCACAGAGAGTCTGGTCCATGTTGCAGTACACGCTGTATCCATTGATAGTGTAAAACCCAGAGGTGCTGTCAGGCTGAGCTGACTTGATGGCACTGCAAGAGCTACCAGAGCTGTTAATGGCAATGGGTATACTGATGTTTAGCGTGCTGTTCTGTATACTCAATATCTCTTGAGTTATGAGGTATATGTTATGCAGAGCAGTGTTGGTGTTGTATTGGGAAGAGCCCACATTAGCCAAGCCATTGATGATGCTTGATAGTTTAATGGTGGAGTCTTGAGCTCCCTCCAGTATCAGCTTGAGTGTTTGAGTTATGTTCATAGTCCTCATTCCATCCAGACCAGTGTAGGATAAAAGATCATTCAGTTTACGACCGGTTTCCAGTGACCCATTGACCAGTGTCTCTACCTGTGACCCTGTCCATGTACTATCACCGAGACAGTTACAGGAGACATTGCAAACAGGTGCTGTTACATTAGGAACAGTTCCCACTGAAGCTCCAGTGGTTGGGGTAGGACCAGCAGCAGTGCTTTCACAAACATCAATGGAGTTGAAACGAGAGAGAGTCCCTGCCACAATGGAGAGTATGACGATGAGAAGCAACAGTGCAATCACTTGAAGTATTGCTGTGATAATGCCCAGTATTCTACTGAAGGTGTCCTGGCCTCCTATGTTAGTTGTTATCTTATATCCGTGAGCTCCTTCATACTCTTGTAGCTCAGTCTCATCATAAATCCCTTCCTTTTCATGACTCATGATTGCAACCTCTAACAGCAGTATGCAGTCACTGGCACTACAGTATAGATAGGCTGATTTTTAGGGTGTAACCAGAAGATACTAATTACTACTACAAAATAGTATTTATTGTAACCATCTCCCACCCTTTTCCCGAGTCTTGTGACTCATTTTAATTATATTCATAAGAAATCAAGTATCAATGATTTTGACTTTGTTTCTATGGTAACTGGGAACTTGTGATCAAATTACACAAGTATATTTATTATTGCAATAATAAAAGATAGTATCAGCGATATAACACAGTACAATGTTTTATGAATCAGCAAAGGGACAATATTCATTACATTACAACAAAATCTCATTTTATGAAGTGCTGTACTTAGAATCAGCTCAAACTTTAATAGCATTTCCAATACGCATCAGAAAATGAGATTTATGAAAAAGGTTATTTATAGTCTGCAAAAATGCATGGGGACTGAAATAGCTAAGATACTTCTAAGTATTATATAATGTGTACATGTATTATTAGCAATATGTTGTAGTGTTTCAGCAGCTCATAATGAGACCTCTATTTAACGTATATCTCATACTGAGATACCATGACATCCTCATCAAGCCAGCCCTCGTCCCCACAGATCCTCAACTCAATGAAATCAGTAGTAAAGTTAGTGCCATAGTCTCTATGGAACCAAGGCATGTTAGGATTAGCATTACAACAAGCAGCTTCATTGGTACCACAACCCTGTCCATCCCACAGTGTATCAGAATATAGCAGAGTTTGCTCATAAGAATATGTTGGATTACCAGACTCACAGTAATAATTACTACCAACAAATGGCTGAACAGATTGAGGACTGTTGATAGCACATGGGCAGTTAGCCCAATTTGCCCAGTTTATCTGTGAGCCAGTGTTTTCAAACAGTCCAGCCATTAGTGTCCAGACATGTTGACGAGGAGACCCACGAGTGATACTAACACCATCAACATAAGGGCCATTGATATCATTGTGATTAGCTCCAGTGTTGTGAATTGCATCAGGTGCTCTGTACTGATAGGCAGTGACTTTACCACATATCTGATTGTAGCTAATACCGTTACTGGAGAATGATGTGGAAAAACAGCTGGCACTGTTGCTTGGTCGTCTGCAAACTCTGTAGCCAGATTGTTGATACAATGTGAAAGCTGAAGGACAGTTCTGTGTAGCATCAGTCATGTCAAGGTAGCCGATCCTTGTCCATCCTTCAGTAGCATTGCAGAGTGTGTCCATATTACAGTAAATGGTACGACTGTTGACATGATAGTAACCAGAAGGACTGTTAGGTAGGACTGCCTTGATATCTTTACAAGAGACTGGTTGGATAGAGTTAAATATCGAAGATGCATTCTGTAGTCCCAGTAGTTCCTGTACCAGTACTAATATATCATCAGTTATGCTTGAGGTAGAGATACTGGTTCCTTGTAGAGTAGAGATGGAACTAACAATGTCTGTTAGTTTATAAGCTGTATCACTAGTGGTCTGCAGTATCTGATACACAGAGTCAGTGAGGTTCAGTAGGTACATCATACGATTGTCAGCGTCTCCCTGTATCATGTCCAGTTTAGCATCACTGCTTTGTGTCATTCGGTAGATATTACTGGACATGTTTGACTGATCTCTTGCTAAAGGTAGCAACTGGCTGGAGACTGAATCCTGGAGTGATTGAAGCATGGCAGTCATGTTGTTAAGCTTCTCATCATTACTGGTTCCTACACCAGCAGTATTGCCTCCAGTACTAGCTCCAATGCTAGCTCCATTACAATCACACATATCTTCTGTGTTCAGCTGTGACAGTGTAACACCATTGATACCCAGTAGTATTATAAGGATGAGGATTACAAGGACTTGTATGCCAATGATAAAGAACAGGCCTTTCCTTCCAGCTGGGATAGTATCGTGTATCTGCAGGTTAGCTATTGGTCGTTGAGGGAAGTCATCCTTTCCATCATATTCAGAAACCTCTTGTTCCACCTCATAAAAGTTCTTAGTGTCATCTGTCTCCATTATTTGTTAGGTTATAGCTGCTGATATCAAGAGGTGAGACAATATAGTCTCTCTTTCTTTGTTTACTCTTAGTTGGGGGTGGACCAGCCCTTTAATATCATTCATTATGTAGCTATAAGATTATATTTTTTTAAAAGTATATGAAGGCAACTTTCATTAAACTGTTTTACTAATAAAAGCTATATGTAATATCAGCTTAAGCAATTCGGTTACACTCAATCAAGTACATGCAAAACTTAAATATAAGTGGCTACTATGATAGCTCTGTGAGTGTGTGTGTGTACAGCAAGGCAGCAGATTAACTTTTAGATCTAAAATACAGTAACTATAGGCAGCTTAAGTTCTTCATTGGACATATATCTCATACTTTGAGAGCATCACATCTTCATCGGTCCATCCTTCATCTCCACACAACCTCAGCTCTATATTCTGAGAGCTAGTGGCGTTACCATAGTCTCTGTAGAACCATGGCATGTAGGGACTGGCACTGCAACAAGCTCCTTCGTTATTACCGCACTGCTGACCATCCCAGAGAACATCATTGTAGAGGAGTGTGTTATGGTAAGTGTTCGTCGGATTACCTGATTCACAGTAATAGTTGCTACCAACAAAAGACTGTATAGTCTGGGAACTGCCTATGGCACAAGGACAGTTAGCAACATTAGCCCAGCTAGGAGTAGTACTCTCAAACAAACCAGCTATTAGCGTCCAGACATGTTCACGAGGAGACCCACGAGTAATGCTAACTCCATCAACATACCAGGAATTGAGGTTATTGTGAGAGTTACCACTTCTTACTGCATCAGGAGCTCTGTACTGATAGGCAGTGACTTTACCACATATCTGATTATAGTTTATGCCATTACTGGGGAATGATGTGGAAAAACAGCTAGCACTGTTGCTTGGTCGTCTGCAAACTCTGTAGCCAGATTGTTGATACAG